GTGAGGGTTGCCTCTTGTCTCTCCCTTGAAACAAAAATCATTACAAGTTTTAAAACAAACTAGCCTTGTTGCCAGAAGTTTGCATATGTTCCTTGACATCACCAGCTCCATAAACATCATCTATCACGAGTAAATGAGGAATATTATATTACCTCTCTTACAACAGGGTGACAGAACAGCACAGCCTCTATCAATATACTGGGGTTTTGTGCATCACAGGGAAGGTTTTATTTCTCTGTTAGTGTCTTGAATCTCTTTTAAGGGAACCAAGGGACACCCAAGGCAGCTTAGATGATCTCCTTTTACTCCTCACCTGGTCTTTACTGTGGTTTATTACACTTGGCCATCTAGAAAGACAGGCAAGTGTAATAAATCAGCTGCTGTACCCTTTATAATTCTCAGATCTTTGGGCCAGAAAAGAAGTTGGTTAGATCTGATAAAGCTACCAGCCTCTCTGGAAAATGCTACTGAGAGAAGAACATGAAACAAAAGAAAAGCTGGGACAGACCTAACAGCAAATAGATGGCTCAGGAGGTCAGCCCAGCTACATCCTGCTGGCCATTATTATTTAATACTGGCATCGATTGGTTAAAGATAAGACAGACCAGGCAATTCTCTGGGCAGTTTGATCAAGCACCATTTTACTTGGAGAGTAAAGAAGCCCACAAGCTTGGATCATGCTGAGCAAGGGGGAAGTTTTGATGAATTGATGCTGCCAGCGACTACTGTGGTCACACAGTGACACCTCTTTCTCTCATCATCTATATGGACAAAAATAATTATGTTAGCCTTGGAGCAGTACCTGACCCCAGATGAGAACCAGGGTAGCAGCAACCCCTGCAGTAATGATTTGTGTCATCACTATCCCATATCTGGAAAGTAACAGTACCTTCGTTTTCCTGGGAGCCCATGGAGCCATAGAGTCATATATCAGCCTTCCATTTCACAGCAGCTACATGTGGGCACGAAGGGAAGTCTTGAGAACAGTTAGTTCCACATCCTCACGTTAACTGCTCCCATTTAGTGGTAGAACAGAGTTAGCGACACAGAGAGGCTGAAGTCAGCAACTACCTCCATCAGTGCTGCCTGCCTTCAGCAGCTCCTCTGGCAACGATGGATTAGAGCGGAAGGATCAGCAAACGGCAAGGCAAATCCACCAAGGATGGATGCTAAACAATGGCCAAGTCATCAATGATGTGTAGTAAATAAGGTAGCAAAACTCACTGCAAGGCCATATGGAGGACACAGAGATTTTGATTTTAAAGAATGATGTTACTCATTCGTTCTTTCATACTCCGTTTTGCACCCTCAAAGTCTCTATGCTCTCTAAACACGGGCAGCTCTGGGTGTGCTGGAGTTGCATCACGCCGTTGTTGCTCCCCATCATCGTTGTGGTCTTACGGTCCTGCTGCACAGCCCTCCCTCCTGCACGTGTCCTCTCAGTTATCACATTCTTCTGGAATTGCCTCTCGCTGGTCTCCGTCTCCTGAGTTGCTGCATATCCACCGTTCTTTGCCATGATGATTTCCATACGGAACCTTGTGGCACCAGAAGTTCTCTGCAACTGCCAGTCAGTCCCCACAGACACGTATTTAATTAGGGACTGACACATAGTGCAAGTGAAGGGCTGATTTGGCCAGCAGTTTATTCCCCAGTTGTCCCTTGAGAGGAAGGTGACCCCACATAAAGTAGATGAATTGTCTTGCAAATAGCCTGTGGATCCCTGCATGGAAACATGGCCACATGCATTGATTCCCAACCTCCCTGTGTCTACAACTGCGCATTACTCTGTGCATGTCCTCTTTGCCTACCTAAATCTCTTCTTCAGAAGTCACTGCCAGGACTTTGGAAGCAGAGTCAAGGCAAAATAAGGATAGGAAGAGGGAGAGATTAAGATAAAATACCTCTGTGCCGGGGAAGGTTCCTTCCTTGCTCTGGAGGTGCACGCAGAAGCCAGCACCAACAAGGGAGCTGCCGGAGAGGTGGGAGAGCAGCCTGGAGCTCGGCTTCCTTCCCTGGCACCAAGCTGGATCCGGATGTGCTGGAGCTGGATGTGGAGCAAAGCTACAAGGGAACAAGAGGAGGGCAGAGAGCAACTACACCCCATTCCTGCGGGTTCTGACGAGTGTTTGTATTTTGGTGCCTCGTACCAGCAAGATGTGAAACTTTGGCCTGTCTTACTTGAGGAGAATTTGTCCCTCTTAAGAAGCCAAACAACAATTTCTCTTCTCAACAAGCCATTTTTATTACTTTTGACAATACAGCATTGGAAACAACTATTTTCTTCTGTTATTTAGTTTCTTTCTTTATAAGAATAAAGAAGTTTCATGGAACTACTGATAAGGACGAAAAAGCAAACAGTTAACTTGTTCTCATCCAATGTGACACTGCAAATATAAAAGTTGGAAATTTGCAAAAGCAGACTACTCATGTAACAATAACGCAGCAATACTGCCCAAATTACCACTCTACAAAGTAATTAGCTAACATTTACACAAACAGCAAGTTCTTGTAGCCCATTGCTAACAAGACCGAAGGCCTCAGGCCTGAAACTGTCAGTGAAGTTCAGTTCAAGTCAACAATAATCAACAAGAAACTCTCCACTGATTCCAATGGGCTTTGGCTCAGGTCTCTCACGCTCACACACACGCACACACATCCCTTTGAAAACAGCAGAAACATTTAGTGTCCTGAAGGCCTTCAACTTCTGCCACAGCCCAGCCTTCATCTGCAAAACAAATACATGGATTTGACAATGAAAATTTACTGTCCTTCATTTGTCACGTTCTGTAAAGTGCTAGGTTTCTAAGTTATGTGAATTAAAATGATATATTGCTCTGGTATTTTAAATATAATAAATATAGAAAGAGCTGTGTGCACTTAAATGCCACTTGTAGATTTTATTCTTTTTTAGTAGATAAACTAAAATTAGTAAACAAAATAGCCTCCAATAATACTCCGTGAAAAGCTAGTAAGAAGTTATAAAAATAATCACATCCTTCAAGGTATCCTACGCACTTCTTCTGTCCACACTGCAGAGATAAATGTACTGTTCCTGTGTGCATATGGAGCAAAAAATGAATAAAGAGCTGAAAATTACTTTACACTTAAAAGCAAACCCTAAAAGTTAATGCTACGTATCCTCCCATAAACAGTCTCTTTTCTACATTTGATCTTGTAGCACACAATTCTTCTGTTTTTTTCCTCCATTAAAATACTCTTCCGGGGAGAACATCTTGCAAGATATGGGTTGATTCATCTTCATCTTGCTCCTTCTTACTGCAAAGTGGGAAAGACTCTTGAACAAACTGCCTACACATTGGACACTGCTGGAAATACTTAACGCAGCCGTCGCACAAGCACGTGTGCCTGCACGGGAGGAGCACCCAGTTCACCGTGCCGTTCTGGCAGACAACACAGTCTTTGCTGTTTTCTTCATGCAATTCTGATTCATCTTCAGCCAGCCCGACCTTTTCCAGCAAGCTTCGGTCAGTGCTGGCCTCATCAGGGGGAGTATCGCTCAAAGATGGTGCAGTACTGTTTGCAGACATGAAGAGCTGCTAAAATACACATAAACAGACAAATATATATATATATAAGTAGAAATCAACACACTCTTCCCCCCGCACCTGAACATGCCAAGCAGGTTGCACTGGGTCAGACCCATCAGGTTCCCCTGGGTGAAATAGTGACAGACTCACTTTGCGTGGGTCAGTTTCTCAGGCTTCAGTGATATATAATAATATATAATCCAGATGCATTCAATGATACAAAGCACTGGGAAAATATTAAGGCTAAGATGTCAAATCTTAGGTGAATGAATCAGTGTACATGCATGAAGGGGAATGGCACAGGTTATGAACACTAGGGCTTTCTGCATATCAGCCCTGTGCCTGGAGGGAAGTTTCCATCCCCTTCTACCAAACAGGAACCCACCACATGCTCAAATCTCCTCAATTCAACCCGTTCTGCTTCACCTTATGCTACAACCCCGTTTCCTTTTTGTCTTATTTTACACAAAGTGCAAAATCTTCTGGCCGTGATCTGTTACTAAAGCCACTAAGCTAATAAGGAGACAAGGATGCCCAAGCATGTGCTAAACAACTACGTTTCAAAACTGCACAGTTGTCTCTGTCCAGAGTTTCAGCAGTATTTTTATAATGGTAACAATATGTGAGAATAAAACAGAAGGGAAAGATGTTAACTGATCAATATTATATGCCATTTTCATTATCACGGTAATACAGAAATGTTTAGAATCACATCATCAACTACCAAACAGGAACAGGTCAAAGATCATCCCAAAATATGTAGAGATATGGAAAACTGAACAGAAATTATAAGAATGTTGATTGATCTAACAGTGCTCTGTGCTATGCAGAATCCTAATCTTTGTGCACGTATTGCAGCAAAGGAGATTTTAAGGAGATAATTAAAAAATATTGAGACTTCTGAGGTTTTGTTGAGATGCCCATCCCAATCAGTAGGGCAAAACAGGAGAAAGGACTTACTTGAGAGACTAGCAAACAGGTTTACAAATGTCTTATACAGATGAAGCATTCAAGTTATTTAAGTTATTACTATTTTTATAAGCAGATGGGGACTCCTAGGCTAGAAACAAATCTAGATACTCTAGTATTTTCATATAAAATGTTTTTGCACAGTAGCTTTGGTGGAATTACTTAACTAGTAACATAATTTTAGCTACCAGCAGTTTTTTACCAGACAGCAAAAGATTTACCCTAACTGAAAACCTACACAAACTGGAATTACTTAACTAGTAACATAGTTTTAGCTACCAGCAGTTTTTTTTACCAGACAACAAAAAATTTACCCTAACTGAAAACCTACACAAACTGACTCAACACTGTAGCCTAAGTTAAACAAGACTCAGCTTGTGCTCAGTTCAGCTTACCTTAAGATCATGGTATTGACCTTGGGCTAGAAGTAGATACTGATACAATATTCTGCAGGAAAGTCTGTAGCTCTCATCAGGAATATGAATTACAGCCACCATTGATATCTACCAAAAAAAAAAGTTTTACTTAACATTTTTCTTTATCACATATATGATTTTTTGATTTGTACAGAACACGGGGTTTGTACGCTTGAAAGCTTATTTATTTTGTTGTAACTTCTGACCTGCTTAATTCCTTACACAATCAAGGCTGCAACAATATTGACTTTAAGTATGAAGGAAAAAATGCCAGACAAGATAAGAACAGTGTGTGGCACAGGACAGGTTTTGGGGGAGTTTCCACTTTCTGAACTGGTTTTCCAGGAGTTCTGCTCTGGAGAGCTGACAGGGGAGTCACTCTGACGGCTCTTCCTGCTGGAGGGAGGCCCCAACCCCAAAACAACAACCAAAAATCCTCCTGAAATTCCACCCTTCTGCAGCTAGGTAGGACTTACATCAGCCATGTGTGTGCCTCAGAGCAGTTACCTGCGTAATTATTTCATGCAGGAGGAACACTCCACTGAGCACAGAGGTTTTCTGATGAGCTTTTCCTAGACTGAAGTGGATAAAACCCAAGGATTTGCCTACAGCAGCCTAGCCCTGAGCAAGAGCAATTGCAAATCTCTCCTGCAGCGGCGATCCAGGCTGCCTCCAACACAAGAAATAACATTTCCCACTGAATTCTGAGTGCAGATTTATAGGGGAATGTATAAAAGGCAAAATCTCCTTCACTCTCCCTCTCAAACACACAGACTACATTTTTTAGACTCCAAAATGCATTTGGAAGTATCACTGACAGGCTTGCAAACTGAGTAAGCTCAAGACAAAATTCACTGAAAAGGATTATTAGAGGACCCCATGGGTTGTCTTTTCACTTTACCTAATTTTTCACTTCACTTTTCTGAGAATAAAAGCACTCAATGCTTGCATGCTGTGTTTAATACCCTTTCCCTGCCCAAATTACATAATAGCCTGAGAAGGAAGAAAAGAAAGAGGGTGAAATTCAATATTATTGTAGCTCCCAGAGACTGTTGTAAGAGAAGTGAAGCCTGCAAGACAGCTTTATTTTTGTTTTTTTAAATGAGCCAATCATTGTTCATTGCAATCAGATTTGCACTTGGAAAGCAACTATATAACTAATTAAGAGATGTGTGCATACACATACATATGTATTTATACTAAATTCATTTACTACTCTTTGGCAACAAGGTCTTTCTTAAAATCACAATAGATCATATAGTTCCATGAAGATCTGTTCATTTAGTTTTAGAACCCCAAAGTTATTAATGGTCCATTAAAATTCAAGCATCTCCAAGGAAGGAGACTCCACAACCCCGGAGCAGCCCATCCTGGTGCTGTGTGTGTTGCTCTCAGAGCACCAGGGTATTTGTACATGGTCTTCCCACATAGCACAAGTACCTTCTCAGCCTACATGTCCTCAGCTAATAATTTGCTCAGAAATTTTAGCCAATTTTTGAACTGTGAGTAGGACTAATGCAAGAGTTTCAAGCTTCAAGTTGTTGTCTCCTTATAATGTTATCCTATCATACAGGAATATACACTCCCATACTATAATCTAGCAGAAATGCTATGCTGTATTTGATTACAGAACCCCTTTTCCATGAGCACTGGCTATTTTGCTCTCTATGTAAATATCTGTACACCATAATTAAGCTATTTACCAATCTTCTGCTTCATATATGAGGCTGGAGACCTAAATCTTTCATTTCTGCCCTTGCCGTCTTCAAATCATTTCTGCACCTACCTTCCATGCTTACTCATTCTGATTCCCTGGGGCTAGAGCAGAGGTCTGTATAAAAGCAAGTAGGTGTGATATAGCCAGAAATACATTCAGGACAGTTTCTAACTCCCAGAAGTGAGATTCTGGAAGACCATCTGCAGTGACCCTTTCGCTACCATGCTTGCATTTCACCAGTATGTTTCAGTATTAGCTGGTTTGCAAGGAGTTCAGGCACAGTGACTTCTTTGACCATATTAGCAGATTCCAACCATGTTCCTTTCCTCCAAAGGAAGTGGAAAAAAAAGCATCCCCCTCACTTTCCTTCCATCCTTTTCTTCTGTGTTAGGGAATGAAGAAGCGGTGCTACAAATTTATCTCCATTCCAACATCAAGCACGTTCAAACTCAATTTTACAGTTTCTTTATAACAGGATAGGCCAAGCTCTAAACTTACATAGATGTGCTGAAAAATAGCTGGAAACGGAAATCTTGAAGGGG